GAAAGAAAGGAAGGAAGGAAGGAAGGAAGGAAGGAAGGAAGGAAGGAAGGAAGGGAAGGAGGAAGGAAGGAAGGAAGGAAGGAAGGAAAAACTGGGGTTCCAAACTTCTCTCATGCCTGACTTCTCTATCTTGGTTTGTTTTTGGGTTTTTTTTGTGTGTGTGTTTTTTTTTAAGTGCTCTCTTCTCCTAACTTCCCAAAGGCTGTGGTTGAATTTAGAATTCTCAGACTCCTTGGTACAACAACGTGTTGACAGAGGGAGAGCTGGCCCCCAACCCTGGGCAACACCCTTCCCTTTACTCTGTTCCTCACTTGAGGAGACTCCCATCCCCTTGTGTGGACCCCGAAGCCCCATGCACACTCCAGCCACACACCTCCCCCCACTTCACACTGCAGCACCTGTGTACCCTTTGAGCAAGCACAGCCCGCCCTTTGAAGATGGACCCCAGGGAGATGCCATGCAGGCTCACGGCTATGTGGACAGGGCCCTGCGTACCCAGAGTTGGTCTAGAACAGAGGGAGCAAGGTCCAGGCAGGAAGGGGTACAATCAGGGGAAGACCAGAGAGGTGCTCTCTGAAGCACAGGGTACAGGCAGGGGTCCTCTTGCCCAAGTCAACTGCTCAACCCTCTCAGCCCACCTTCCACTTCAGCCTCAGCCACAGTGGACAGTTCCGGGGAAATGTAGTTTCCTTGTGCTGCCAGCATCCTATCCTACCTCAAACTCAAGCTCTGCCCCAGACCATCTCCAACATTGTAGGATTCCTACCACCACCATAACCGCCACCACCCCCCCTCCCCCCCCCACACACAAATGCAGCCCCAAAACCTCAACTCATACAGGACAGGAGCAGGCAGGCAAATGCTCAAACCTACCATTGTTTCACATAGACAATTCTGGAAAGCTTTTAAGATCCTGGTAGAAAACAAGCCCACTGCTCATGGCAGCAACCTCGCTAACACACCCTCCCCTCTGCGTGTCCTCCTCGCCGGTCTCACGCCCCCTGCTGTCTGGCTCTTGCGTCCTGGAATCACTTCCCAAATAAAACACCCGCACCCAGGTCCTGCCTCTGTTTTCAGGGCTTCTGGGAAGAAGAAAGGGACAGACCTGGGAAGTAACAAGTCCAACCACGTCACCGGCACAGTCTCCCTGGTGTCCTGCATCAACAACCATTTAAGAACTTTCTTGAGGTGAAACTCTTCTCCACACATTTGTTTGGGGGTTGGTTTGTTTTTTAATTTGAGAAGGTGGTCCCTTTGCTCTTTCCTCTATTTTAACGTCCAAATTCCCTTTACAAAATCTCGCTTTAATGGTTAAAATTTCCCAAATTAACTGTGGCCTGTTGGGAGGTAGGATGGAGGAAGCTGCTTATGGGAAATGAACAAGGAAGGGAAGCAGACCAGACGCAAAAAGCTGTTACTAATTTTGACAACAAAGATTACAGTGAACAAGAAAAATTGCAAAGAGCCCCTTTTTACCACTGGCTGAGGACTGTGTCCACCAGATTTTCCCGGACAATCCCCATTTCAAATTGTTGACATGAGATTCATAAACATCCCTCTAGTCCAGTGGTTCTCAACCTTCTGGCCCTTTAAATACAGTTCCTCATGTTGTGACCCAACCATAACATTATTTTCGTTGTTACTTCATAACTGTAATGCTGCTACTGTTATGAATCGTAATGTAAATATCTGATATGCAGGATGGTCTTAGGCGACCCCTGTGAAAGGGTCGTTCGACCGCCAAAGGGGTCGCGACCCACAGGTTGAGAACCACTGCTCTAGTCAGACCGTTTCCCAGATTTAAGCTTCAGAAAATGGAGTTACAGACCATCCATAGCCATGTGCAGGCCATGGGCCACTTTCTGTCGCCAGGGCTTCCAACTGGCCTCCTGCACGGCTCAGAGCTCCTAGGTCCTGGATACCTACAGGAAGGAGCCCTTTGACAGGCCAGCAAGCACCACTCCTTCCACAGCCTGGCCTGTTAGGGTGCCCCACTGCAGAAGGCCCCTCTGAGCTGGCTACTCCTGGCCTCTGGAACCACCTTATTCTGCACCAGTGTTTACTGCCAGCCTCGGAGCGAGGATCCCAGCACTGACTTTGGCCCTTATGGGAGGGAGCCTGCCACTCTTGGGCTGGCTTGCTTTGGCTCATAGAGTTTCCTTGTGTTTAATTTCTGGGTAATTTCTTCAGAGTTGAAGCAAGAAGAAGATTAAAACAGAAAGACAAATTTAAAAAAGAAAGAAAAGGAGTCTGGCTGGCATGGCTCAGTGGTTGAGCATAGACCTATGAACAGGGAGGTCATGGTTCGATTCCCAGTCAGGACACATTACCTGAGTTGCAGGCTCCATCACCAGTGAGAGGCGTGCAGAAGGCAGCCAATCAATGAGTCGCTCTTATATTGATGTTTCTATCGCTCTTCCTCTCCCTTCCTCTCTGAAATCAATGAAAATATATTTTTAAAAAAGAAAGAAAGAAAGGAAATAGTGTCACCATGCAATGAGAGAGGCCTGAATGGGGTCATGGGCCTCTTCTTCCAGGCACCTAATTCCACCCTGAGGCTTCAGCCACTAGTGACCTGCAGGTGAAGCTGGTCATCTACTATTTATCTCCACACTTTAAACACCAAAATCAGCCCTAACCAGTTTGGCTCAGTGGATAGAGCGTCGGTCTGCGGACTGAAGGGTCCCAGGTTCGATTCCAGTCAAGGGCATGTACCTTGGTTGTGGGCACATCCCCAGTAGGGGGTGTGCAGGAGGCAGCTGATCGATGTTTCTCTCTCATCGATGTTTCTAACTCTCTATCCCTCTCCCTTCCTCTCTGTAAAAAATCAATAAAATATATTTTAAAAAAACAACAACAATAAACACACCAAAATCAGGGTGGGTGGCGCCGAGGACCAACCTGGGAGCATTAATCTTAGAGCTGGAAGGAGCCTTAGACTAAGCTCTCACTTAGCAGATGAGACTCTGCCGTAGGAATGCAGCCTAAGAAAATTAAAGCCCCAAATGGTGGCTATTTAATAATGTTTCAACGAGCCAGGGGTCATTTTGTGCCATAAAACTGGTGTGGAGGGATCCTGCAAGATGTGGACTCCTGGCATTGATTTCATCATCTGTGCTGACCCCCAGTGGTGGAGGTAAGAGGTACATGCAGGAGGGTTAGTGCATCCAGGATACACATTAAAGGACAAGAGAAGAGAAAATTGACCCTCATTATGACCAAGGCTACGATACCTTGTAGGTTGGGTCCTCCTCTTCAGAAATTAGAATGTCATCCCTACAGTTATGAATAAACACCTTTCATGTACAAGCACTGGAAAATCAAATTTTAACCTCCAAATTAAAAAAAAAACACATGGAAAATATTTTTAATATTCCAAATATTATTCAGCAAGCATTTATTGCAATGAACCATGGGCCAGACACTACTCGAGGCCTTTGGGATGAAAAGATCAGTAATCCAGGGCCTTTGGCTGGAGGAACTCATGGTTCTAGCCTTGGAAGGAACAACCAACAAATCACTGCATTCAGTGTGATGTGCACTATAATAAGCAGTATAAGGATCTCTTCCTTTTCATATTCCCCCAGACAACAGAGGTTCAACAAAATGTAAATGGGGGAATATAGGGATACTCTCTTCCCTCCAATGACATCTAACACAAACCTTCCATAGCTGCCTCTGCAGCCTCCTCTTTTAAGATGCAAACACCCCAACAAGTATGAAGTCTTTATCAAACCCACTTTCCCTAGCCTGAGGTCAGTGGATGCAACTTTCACCAGATAATTTTGTCCATCCTATATAATAAAAGTGTAGTATGCAAATTGTCCCCTCGACTGGGAGTTCGTCTGGGAGTTCGACCAGGGGCAGGGCCGGCCCAGGGGAAGGGAGGGAGTACCCACAACCGGCAGCCGCTAGGGACCCTACCAGTGCATGAATTTCATGCACTGGGCCTCTAGTCTTTTATAAACCTTTAAGTCTTTGTGAAAACCTTTGAAGACAAAACCACCACAACAAAATACTTTCCTATTAAAACACCTGTTAACTTCATAACTTTATTGTTTCTCCAATATCAGTGTAGAAGAAACAAATGCTTTTTTACATTAATATTATTAACAGCATCAAACATCAGAGATATCAGAGAAGAAAAAAATAACCTGGAAACTACAGGATTGTAAGGACAAATCAATGGGAGGGGCATACTTTAAAAATATGTCAAATTACAAGTTAAGTAGAGAATGGTTGAAAGTATGGTTAATAAAGCAGACAGAAAAAACTTAGCAAGCAGCATTGTGAAGAGAAAATACCAGTAAATGTGGGGACCTGAGCTCTGGGTGTCTTTGTTGTGCAAAATGGAAGATGGAAAAGAGGCTATATGCATTGATCTGAATACATTAACAAATTTCAGTAAAAGTAAACAAATATATTCATCCTTAGTAGATGAACAAAAGGAATAATTCTTCATATTTGGGCAACTTTGGTTAAAAGGAGAGAAGCAATTTTGAGCTATTTAAAAAGACAATCAACACTAAATTAGGCCAAAATTTAGGATTAATTTAATTTAATTAGGATTTAATTAATAATTTAAGGGAAAATATTAACCAGAGGGAAGAGAGGTTGGGAGACTGGGTGAAAAAAGGTGAAGGATTTAAGAAGTGCAAATTGATAGTTACAAATAGTCACTGGGATGTAAAAGTATCACACAGGGAGTATAGTCAGTAATAAGATATTGTAATAACTGTGTATGCTGCGAGGTGGGTCCTGGAAATATTGGGGGGAACACTTTGTAAAGTAAACAATTGTCTCTAACCACTATGCTGTACACCGGAAACCAGTATTGACGGAAGTCAGTTCCAGCAGTTCAGCGGGGCTGAATCATCTGGAAATGGCGGAGGGCATTTCCCCAAACCTGAAAAGGATGCATAAATGATTGCTGGCTGCCAGACAGCTGAGGGCATTTCAATTTACATGTTATTGCCTCGTACTGGCCAAACACCTGAACAGCTGTAGGCAAATTCCCCCAATCTAACAATGCCTACTGTATACCTAACCCTACCCTTTGATGTGTATATCTACCTCGCCTTAGGACAAATTGTGTTAATAAATAGCAAGGGGTCCTGGAACAAGGAGAACTTGGAGAACTTAGTTTCTTTTTTTTTTTTTTAAAGGAATCTTTTAAAAATATATATATATATATTTTATTGATTTTTTTTTTAACAGAGAGGAAGGGAGCAAGGTAGAGAGTTAGTAACATTGATCAGCTGCCTCCTGCACAACCCCCACTGGGGAAGTTTCCGCAACCAAGGTACATGCCCTTGACCGGAATCAAACCTGGGACCCTTCAGTCCACAGGCTGACTCTCTATCCACTGAGCCAAACCAGTTAGGGCAGAACTTGGTTTCTTTAGCCAAGCTCCTCTGGCCCCCAAAATGCCTTCCAAAATGATGTTTCGTCTCTAGACTCTTGATTAATTTACGCACAGCACCTTCTCCAGATTCCTGAACCCTTCTTGATGCCAGATCAAGACCACTGGCATTACAGTACAAAATAATGTTGAATGTAAACTATAACTGAAAAGTAAAATTTTAAAAATTTGATCCACCTGAGGTACAGGAAAGTGAACTATGTGATGTTTTGCATCTATTCTACTGGCAAATACGAAGCAGTTTGACAATACCAAATATGGAGAGACTGTGGATCAAAAAGATCACTGAAAGGGCGAGGGCTAGGTTGCCCCAGGGTAGGGGCTACGTCCTACTCTGCTAGCCACACCCAGGCGGCAGAGCACAGTTCTTTCTCCTCCCCTTACTCCAACCCCCCCTATATAACCGGTCTTGAGGTGGGGTTCGCGCGCTCAGCCACTTGGTTTGCCTTGGTGTCGGTGAGCCTGGTGGATGGGGAGCCCAAGTTAACTTGAAATACAGATTCTTATGCTTTTGCATCGAATTGGCTCCCTGATGTGGTTTCTTGGGAATCTTGAAATCTGGGCACAACAATCACCTCTCTATTATTTGGTGAAAGTTGACATTAGAACAACCACTTTGGAAAGTAGTTCAGATTATCTCAGGAAGTCGAGCATTTTCATATTTTACAGCATAGTAATTCCTCTGCTATAAGCTATAGAGAAATTCTTGTCCATGCATACCAGAAACCATTTTATAAAACACCAAAAACTCAGTGCCATTCATGATAACTAAAATCTGGAAATAAACCAAATGTTCATGGATAGGAGACTGGGCAAGTTAACAGAAAAATGGGTAAGTTTTAAAAAAACAACTAAATAATATGTAAATAAAACATGTTTTAAAGCAAGGGAATCATAAACATAAACTCAGGATAGTGGTTACTCTTGGGGAAGAGTGGATGTTAGTAGTTGTTAGGGTCACAGTTCTAGTCCTTGGGTGTGTGGTTGGTTCACAGGTGATCACTGAATTATTCAAATACATTCAAACATATTGGCATATGGGCCCAAGCACAATCAAGGATGAACTATCAACCAAGATATGCCATAAACCAAGGATTATGATGAGCCCATTTTGTGTACCTAAGTCATTTTAAAAACAGAGAAAAGTAAAACAATAGACGAGAATTCTTAACAAATGGAATATAGGGCCTCTTGTCATTTTCTTACCCTATAATTTTCTTTGTTGCCTCTTTAGCAAGGTTTTATTTTAAATGTGGTTCTTCATAAAATATCTCACCTTTGGTTCTTCAGATTCTTAAATATATAGTGTTCCCTATTTGTTAGTATCCAGGTGAGAAAGTCCAGAATACGTTCTTTAAGCGTTCAGCTTCTTCAGCCTGTCCTAAGTATTATTCAGTATTATTATTTCCTGCCCAATTGTAACTCTCATCTAGAAACGGGCATGCTACCCTACAAGTGTTGGCGTTGCTTTTTCATGCAGCGAGGATCGGATGAAGTGCATGTGTCTAACAATACAGATTCCTCAGTGGCTAGCACACGAATCTCTCAGTTGCTAGTTATCTCCGTATTTTTCCACTGAGTTGGGAAGGGAAAGTACAGTGTGTGAAGTTAAACTAGTGTGTTACCCATAACATCTGGGGACCTTTGTCTTTTCACCTTTGGCTGCTTAACTGTCACACATCGCATCTCGGGTGAAAGGCACTTGTATTACGGGGACTTTCCCTTAGTGCCTTTGTGGCACATGAGAACAGATTC